TCGCGAGACACACCCCCGACACACACACACACACACACACACACACACACACACACACACACACACGCACAGTCACGAACAATATACAAATCACAGTCATGGCAATGAAGCGTGACTAGTTAATACACAGTACGTTTCTTTTAAATATGCTAATTTTTGAGAAAGTATTTTGCTAATGCCTTCCTTTTTTCCACACAATTACTACAGTTACTTTTCTAACATCATCACTCATAGTTACTCTCATGCTTGGGGAGTAACAGAATACATCTATGTATTCAGAATGCAAAAACATTATGTACCATTCAGTTACAGAAAAAAACACAATCACATTACAGGGACATTTAAACCCACCAAAGGGCCCTCCGTCATCTGTCAAAACAAATCGCTGATGCACGTCATCAGCTGAGTACATGTGTGAATATGTTATACATCTTTTAAAAGCTGAGTTTCTGGAGATTTGAATGGTGCCATACACATTACAATTGTCGAATTTGAACCGGAACTTGGGAAGACCTCAAGCTTTGATCCTGTAGTGTTTTCAAGTCCTAATCAACATTCTAAATCCATTTCAAGGCAGATTTTGTGAAAAGAAATTAGACGAACATAAGATTCGCCTTTTTTTTTTTTTCGAACATCCAAAGTTCAGTGACAGGAGCACTTACACAGATTCTTACTGTATGGGAGAAACATTCATAATGATAAAATTTTGAATATTTCAAAAAGAGACCAAAACTATGCTGATACCCCAAATGGTTCAAGAACAGCTACAAATTTACTTTGGGTGCACCTTTCCATAGGCGTTTTTTGGCAAAGTCGCCCTCGGTTTAAGGGGTTAATAAAAATTTGGATTATTTTGCAGGATTACATTTTTAATACAGTTTAAATTTGGTATGATTGTGAGCACGAATTGTTGTTCGTCTATGTGTGCCCTGCAATTGGCTGGCGATCGCATAGTTCAGGGTGTACCCCGCCTATTGCCTGGGATAGACTCCAGCATGCCTGTGACCCTAATGAGGATAAACTGATTAGAAAACGGATAGCTGGATTGTGAGCTCTCAAAATCATCCGGACATGTGCATGCACGCGCATGTATGAGACGGAGGCAAGAAGTGTGAATCAATATTGCGGCGATCTTTGGGGAGGTTTGCCTGTGAGCGTGTGCTGGTGACACCAGTCTCACCACTGCAACAGTGAGCCCACATGCCTCCACAGCATAGCTTAATTGGCAGAACAGTTTGTTTGCTCTGAACATTGTTCAGTGTCTTTGCAGGGCAGCTAATAGCAGCGGGACAAGGAAATTGCATACCAAAACATTGGCCTAACGCATGGGAAATAGGCAAAGATGAAAGTGGCTACTGGTAAGCTCACGTCTTTCTTTTGGGCTGTTGAATAAGTTTTAAAGTGTTGAATTACTTTAACAGTCATATCTTTCTGATGTACTTGATCTCAGTTTAATTGAAAGTGTGATTTGAATTCATCATAATGTAGAGTAAAATGTAAAATGATCTTGATTAAGACAAGGAAAAAAGCAGGTTAATCATTCGCTCATTCACTTCTAAAGACATATTTATATGTCTTTTCACACTCCACATGTTCAACCCCAGATACTTAATTTTTAAAAAAATTTCCAAAACTTAGAGTAAAAAAAAAAAGGGGTCTAGAATTGGCTGGTGCTGAATGAGTTAAATGTAGATGGTTCTAAAAATAATTACGAGGCTTCTGTTTATCGTAATACTTACATTTTACAGTATTTTCCTCTGCCTACCTGCCTTGGTTGACTAAAGGAGTAATGGTTAATGAAGGCCATGTTTAACTTTCAATTTTTTGCCGAATACATGTGATTTGTTGTCATGTAAATACTGATTTGAATTTAATCCTTTGTTTTTCATATGTTTGAAAGTTTTTCACCTTCCTGTTTCTGATCAATAAATCCACAAACCGAGTAAAATCCAGAGTGTGGTCAAAACCTTCCCTTTTTAAGTGTGGGAAACCCATGCAGTTGAAGATACACTTGCCAATGAAAAAATGGCTGTGACCAGTGAAGACTCCATTGAAGGCCACAAGCAAGAGGGAGGATACTCCACCTCGAAGCCTGGAGGATAAAGCCTGCTGTCTGTCAGCTGAAGGAAAGAAATGGCAAAGTCACTTGATGATTTGAAGATAGAAAATGCCACAGCCAAGAGACTCTTCTCCAGCCTTGCCAATGGCATAACGAGAACCTACATGGAGATGTCTATGGAGGAGTGAAAGGACAACCTCAGGGACCTTACACTGGAGACCTCCAAAGTCATGTAGGCAAATGATGACGAGGAGGTCGCTTACATGGCAGAGGCCAAAGTGGCTACAGCAGAGGAGTTGAGCTACCCACTGGAGGCTGATCGAGAAAAGACGGAGAGGGAGTGAAAGCACAAGACGGAGGAAGTTGCACTCCTAATTCAAGGAGCACTATGGCATAAATATGGAGACACAGAGCTGCCTGTAGCTCGACAAGGCGCAGAAGTTGAGTGCAGGAATGTTGAGGCCTCCTCCACCGAGATGTACCTCTGGAGGCAAATGAGTTCATGCTAACTCACTTGGACAGGTTGGTGCTCAAAGCAAAAAAGCCCACCAAAACTGGAATAACTGGGCTCCCTCTCCTGAGCAAAGAAGCTTCAATGGCCGCCTAAGAGAGCTTGAAGTGTAACTTCCCCACTTGGTGGCGCAAAAGGCCACCTTCACCAGAGCAGCAGAGGTAAAAACAGACACTGAAGAAAGGCCCCCTCGCCAGGCAGTTGCAACGATGAAGTTCAAAACCACAGCTCTAGCAAAGTTTGCTGGCAATCGACGAGGCTACCACAGATGAAGGCAAGGATGAGAGAATCAACTGGATCCAAAGAAGTGAAGACATTTCAACTTCTTGATAGCCTCGCTGAGAAAGTCGCCGGAGATCTACAGTATACCTGTTCAACATACAGCTCACCAGATGAGATCTTCAGAATCCTGCAGAACCAGTTTGGCAACCAAACGACCATCACTCTAGATCAGGGGTGTCAAAGTCAAATGGACGGAGGGCCAGATAAAAATTTTTGCTGCAAGCCGAGGGCCGGACTGATCGAATGTTCATTGAAAATTTTAAAAATAACCACATATTGTTTATTGAACCAAATTTAATTGACCGAAAACCTAACAAATACATTCCAATACGGTCAGATAAATAAAGCAACATTTTTTTATGGCTATGTCAGTAAACTTTAATTTTCAACAGGCACAAAAAAATTTCCTTTGTATAAAAATACCCATAACATGAATGAAAGAAGCCGATATTATTCAAGGCACTATCACTAGTCCATATTTTCTCTTTTAGCAAAAGTAGGCTAAATTTACTTAAAAGAAAAACAAATAATAGTGCAGTAATTTTCGATCATTTACTCGAATAAAATATTTTTAAAACATAATTGGATTGAAATACAATAAAATAAAGTGCAAAAATGTATAAGCCAAAAACAACACTTTCTTCAAGAAGTAACAAGCAGCGAAAGCAAATATTGTACTTTAATTTTTAAACTTGAACTGAGTAAAAACTCTTAGTATGTGATTGCACGGTATATTATAAGTAATATTCACTTCTTTGAGGCTGAGGCTGATACTCGGTGGTGTCTTAACTTTTCTACAAGTTCATCAATATTTGGGGTCAG